TGGGAACCTTTGGGGGGGGGGGGGGGGGGGAAGGGGTGTGTTTTGTTTTGTTTCGTTTAGGGCATTTGAGCAATGTGGTTGCCGGACGTGGATCGATCGGGTGGTGGTAGAAAGGGTCTCGACGAGGACGCGTACCACACCCCTCCCGACCGGAGTTGATAGAACCCTTCGAACAGGGGCGTTTTTTTTTTGTGGGGGGGGGTTGGGAGGGGCTGGGCGTTAGGCGCTGTCGGGGATTATTTCGCAGAATTTCGGTTCGTTAGTGGCAATTTTCACTGTCGAGTCCGTCGTTTTTTTTGCCCGTGAGGTCTCTGAATTTCTACGTACATCCGAGATAAGTTGTGTATTGTTTTTTTTTTCGTGTCTCTTGGTCTTGTACTACTGTAAGTCGCGATGACGGTATTGGTCAGGACGACCCTACCGACTTGATTTTTTGTCATTGTTGTTGCGATTTGAACCGATTTTTTCTCTCCCACTACCTACTCCGCCCTCCTTCGATGTTTGCATCGGGGATGGGTTTTCGTCGCTTGGCAGCGACGTTGTAAAACAAGCCGATCGCTTCGTGAGCTCGGCAACCAGGTTACAGCATTTTTTTTTCCTTTGTTTTTTTTTTACCATACCCATGAATGATTGTCGAGTAGATTATGTTGTGCGAGGTCGAGTACCCTCACTCCGCGCAAAGGGGATGATCGCACGTTGTGTTAAATTGGTCAAGCACCCTCGAGGCAGTTACACAGCGCTTACAACGTTGTCTCTGGAAGTGAAAGCACCAGAAAATAAATTAAGTCATACGCAGCTGTCATCCGTACGCAAGGAAGCGAGCACAAGATGCCGAACACCCTTAGCAGGATGCAGCGCACCGTTCATACGACTCGCCGAATACCTCACGGCGCTTCGCTCTTGGTGATGTGAGAGAGAGCCTGATCCGGTGAGAACCCGGCGTGCTCCGTCCCGGCTTTGTAGGGATGCGAGGTCAATGGTCGAACGACTACGGCATGCACGACTATGAGTACCCCCCTCCCCCCCCCCCAACCGTTCTAATCATCATTCCTTGGATACTCCCCTGCCTCTCCCCCAGCTTCGGTCGGTATATGTGTGCAGACCTGCTTGGTCGCCTTGCGTTCGCCGCCCATGTACGAGTCACACACACAGCCCGCCAATTTTTTTTTTTTTCTTTTACAGGGGTCGATGGCGGTGTGATCCCCAGTGCAGCTGCCAGTACAAGTACCGATTCGGGGACTACGCGCCCGGACGATCGTGCCGCCTGAGGCCGGAGGGGGAGAGGGAGCTGGCCACCTGCGACCCCGAGAGGGGCAACGACGTATCCTTGCTGGAAAAGTGAGGCAGACCGCGGGAAGGGGTGTACTCGTGTGAACACATGCCGTGCGTCGTTAGAGCTAGACCGTAGACTTTGCATGCCGGAAGGGACGGAGCGATACCGTATGCCGGGTTTGCGCCACCCACCAGGCTGTGCGTATCACAAGGATAAAACCAGAAGCTGGTCATTGTCCTCGCGGAGGATGCGTTGCATTTGCTCGCGCGTGTGTTTATTTTGTCGCCGCCATCTGTACTCTCCCTGCTTGTTGTCGACACGCCACCGGCGTCTCCAGAATACACCCCCCCCCCCCCCCCCCCCCCCCAAAAAAAAACCCCC